GGCCCGGTGCCACCTGTGCAACATCCCCACATGGCCCGGGGTGAGGGCTGCGCTCGGGCCGCGCGCTGCCAAATTCCCACGAAACGGACCCAACTCACAAAGGTCGGAGAATGCGGCCTAACGCGCGCCCCCGACCCACCTTTGCCCGAAGTGAGTGAGGTTATTCATCCCGACCCTGGGCCGCTGGACGGGCTCGGGTGTCTGGGGCCGGGAGGGGGCGCCCCATGGAGACCCCACGCTGCGAACTACCCACTTAGGCTTTCGCAGCAGATGACGGGCACAGAATGGAGGCTTTGGTGACTTCGCTTAGCCAGCGGTTCTCAACCTGTGGGTCGCGACCCTTTTGGGGGTCAAACGACCCTTTCACGGGGGTCGCCTAAGACCATCGTAAAACACATATATAATTACATATTGTTTTTGTGATTAATCAGTATACTTTAATTATGTTCAATTTGTAACAATGAAATTGGGGGTCACCACAAGATGAGGAACTGTATTAAAGGGTCGCGGCATTAGGAAGGTTGAGAACCACTGGAACTTAGACTCCGGCGGGGTGAACCCTCCCCCTGGATGTGTGCAGCCTCGGCGGCTGTGTGCTGGCCCCTAACTGAAGGGCTGCAGGTCTGCAGGACTGAGCTGACCTGCAGGAGGGTCGGCAGCCTGGAAAAGCAGCAGGTGACCGGTGTATGTGCCTGGCATTCGTGCCTTCGGTCACCCTGGTAGGATGCGTTACTTAAAAGTCCAGCAGGAAATCCTCGCCTTCTCATTGAGTCTCTGACGTTTCAACTAGCATTTTTCGTTCCTATAAAACCCAGAATACTGTCACTAACATCTTCATACATTTGTGTGTGTGTGTGTGTGTGTGTGTGTAATTGCAATTTTACCCATTTTGTATTACTTCCTTAGAAAAACAATCCTTTTGTTGGAAATGAGAACTTGATGTTTTGGTATGTGTGCATTTTTTCTAGGCTTTTTTTTTTTTCTGTGCATGAGTCTTTCTCTTTGAGGAGGAAGTTTGACTTTTGAAATATAACACATGATTAAAGTGAGTTCCTGATTCAACATTAAGCAAGCAGATCATTGACACGCTCACGAATTCAAAAAATGTTTACTGTCGATGTACAGTGTGCCAAGCAGGGAACAAAAAAGACAATTCTTCCCTCATGAGGTTTTCAATCTAGAAGAGAAGTAGACAATAAGCATCATCAGTAAGAAAACTTATAGGATGCTAGAAGGCAATAAATGTCACCTAGTCAATGCAGAGGAAGGGGATCAAGAGCGGGGAGAGGCACAATGTTAAAAAGATGGGCGGCGTGGGCATTGTTGCGAAAGTGATGTTTGAGCAGAGATTTGAAGGAGGTGGCCTTGGGGATGCCCAGGGAGGAGGATTCCAGGCAGAGGAAGCAGCTGGGGCGAAGGCTTACATGTGAGAATGTGCCTGGCTTGTCCTGCTAATGCAGTACATCAGCGTGAGTGGGGCAGAAGGAAGAAGGGGAAGAAGTAGACAAGTCCGAGAGGGAAGTCGGGTAGGGCAGATTATATGGGCCATTAGGAGCCATTGTAAAAGCCCTGACTTCACTCTGGGCAAATGGGTACTGTGTAAATAGGTCGAATTCTGTTGGACCTAGAGAACTCCTGTCTTTTAGTATATAAATAGCTATTTGGATTAAAGATTGTTCACCTTAAATACTACTGAGGGCACTTCAAACATTTTTTTTTTCCTATGAGAAGTTGTTAATTGGTGGCAAAATCAGATTCCTTATGCAGAAACCCTATTTTGTCATAATATTCTTAGGCACAATTTTCATATGATTTTGCATTTAACTTTCAAAGGCCTTTTATATGCTACTTATTCTATTTTCAGACAAATTAAGAAGTTATTCTACTTGCCTAAAATTATACCATTCTGTGCATTATTTCTTCTTACAATACATCCTTTTTTTGTTTATTTTTTAACCTAACTGATTCTTCAATACTAGAAATGCACAGAAAGCCAAGGCAAGGCGTGTGGCCATAGGAAACCCTGCCATGGTTGGAGGTAGACTGACATATTAATATAAAATGGTATTTAAATGGACAAATGAATGACTATGTCCACGGGAAGGGTGGTTCAAATACTACCTTCACAGCAGGCATCAAGTATAAGGTTTGGGTGACCTGCTTACTATGCAAGAGTCAGCATCAGTAATCAAATTGTTTATCAGAATAGCTGAAGTGCTTGGCCTGCTGTGGACCTTCTCTAATCTCCTACTAACATTCCTAGGTTCCTGAGCTGGAGCCTTGATTTAAAATCATTGCAATCTAACTACCCCACCCTAAATGAAATCTATCACACATAATAGCATCACATTAACCAGAACAGGTATGACTTGATTTATAAAACTGAATATTAAAAAAATGCATTCTAGATCAAGAAACATAGTTCTAAATATAAACATTTACCAGAGTAATTGCCAATCAGTACTTTTGTTTAAAGAAAAAGACTTAGTATATTTAAAATGTACTCTTGCGTTTCAAAGCTTAGATTTTTGTCCATCTTTTCAGGAGAATAAAAGATGTAAAAAATGGGAAAATCAGAGGTCATGCAAAATTATCACACAATTCTTTCTCTCCAGTAGCTTTATCACACTAAGAAAGAGTACTTGTTTTCAGCTTTACTTTTCCATAGAAAAATATGTTAAATCATTACCTTCAGCTCAAGGTATTCCATTACACACCTACTAATTTAGTGCTCACATTTAATCTAATTGTCCTCCCCATATAATGGCAAAATAAAATAGTTAGCTTAATTATCCGTCATTTTTAACATTATACACACACACACACACACACACACACACACACACACATATATTGATTTCAGAGAGGAAGGGAGAGAGACATCAATGATGAGATAGAATCATTGATTTGGCTGCCTTCTGCATAACCCCTACTGGGGAGTGAGTGGGCAACCCAGGCATGTACCCTTGACCCGAATTGAACCCAGGACCCTTCAGTCCGCAGGCCGACACTCTATCCACTGATCCAAACTGTCTAGGGCTTAACTTATCTTTCTGTTTCTTTGTGAAACATTTTTGATGTCAGATTGAGTCTCTGATACTTGAGCCAAGTTTGAGTTTGAAGAGCCATTTATCATCCTCTTTCCACTTTCTTTGGTAAGACATAGGTTTCTGACCTGACTTATCCAGTCAACTCAAATCCAATTATCTCTAAACCTTTTTGTTGATGACTTTATATTTCTGCATACTTTCATTTTTACATAAACCATTACAGTTACCTATTTAACGCTCCAACAAGTTGTTTCTCACAAGTTTGTGGTAAATTCATGTATCCTCTCAATAAATGTTGAGCACTTACTCTATATGCTGGGTAAACTAGTGAACAAATGACCCTGCCCTCCTGGCAATCAGGCTTATGGAAGAGGAAAATGAAGATCGGGGGTGGGGGGTGTAAATCAAAGGACATCTGAAAAACTCTCTTTTTTACAAAATATATTTTTATTGATTTCAGAGAGGAGGGGAGAGGGAGAGAGAAGTATCAATGATGTGAGAGAATCATGCTCCACACTGGGGATCGAGCCCTTGACTTGGGCACATGCCCTGACCAGGAATCGAACCCTGACCTCCTGGTTCATAGGTTGACACTCAATCACTGAGCCACACTGGCTGGGCTGGAGAACTTTCAATACATTTAGCTTATTATTCCTTACTCTAATCTCTAGTTTAATGTTGTGGATGCTTCACTAACCTCAGTTCCACTCCTCCATTATGTAGGTGGGCCTTGCCTGGCCTGACCTTTAAGGTTCTCCTAGCTCTGTTGCCCCAGTACTTAACTTCAACCTTAGCCACTGGGACTCTTGAATCCAACAGGCCATGGTGTGGAACTCAGGGCTTTTGTCCTGTGATTGAGGCACTTGTCCTTTCTCTTCTAACAGGAAAGAAAGCTGGTAGTTCCCATTGCTGCTGGCATTCATGTTGTTAACCTGTAGGGCGGCCCCTGAGGATGAATAGATACTGTGGGCAGCACAGAAGAGAGATGGAAAGAAACTGGGTCATTAAGACATTGTTAAGCTGCTAGTTCAACCATTCACGGAGCCTGTCCAACAGCTGGACTCTTCATGAACGTGGGCCATCATTCTTCTTTATCATTTGATCCAGGTCAAGTTGGTTTGGTTGCAGGTGGCATTATTGTATCTGAGAGTATCCTCACAGACGTGCTCACTAGAATAGGTATTTCTACCTTCTCAAAAGCAGAGGAGGATTTATTGTAAAGCTGTACCACTTCAGTTTCAGGACCTCCCTTGCTCTGGCCTCTTCCTAGCCTTCTACCTAATTTTGCACTTGCAATTTTTTTTTTGTTAAAGAAGACCATCTAAATTGTATAAGCTTCAGGCCTCACAAAACCTGGATCTACTGTCAGATGTTTGGGGGAGAAAACATCCACCTTTCTCTCCAGTTCCCTCAATTCTTGTCTCCCGAGGGAGGAGTGACTTACCTAAATGCTAAGTGGCGGGAAGGGTCACTGTGGCCCGGCCTCTCTGGCTCTGTCATTGAGACCTGCCAGCCCACAGTGGTAAGCTCAGTACAGCAGCCCTGGGTGACCAGCGTGGCAGGGGAAGTAGTTGCCACCTTTGACCACATCTTCCAAAATTGGCACCTCTCCAACAAACTTGTAAAACACCATGGTAACGGCATGGCTGCAAAGACTAAAGAAAGCATCATGGAGGGCTGGCACTGGGAGACTGGAGAGAAGGTAGACAAAGAACGGAGCCCCTGTAAGGTCTTGCATCTGCTGCTTCTCAGCCCCTCCTCTCCTGCCCTCGGGGATCCCTTTCATGTTTGAAACTGGCCGTGCCCTTGGCAGGCAGTTTGCATTTGTCAAGTGACTGAGTGTCTGAGGTCATTCCAGAGGAGAAAGAGTGGGGTTCCCTTCTTGGTCTCAGGTCCGAGCTGTTTTCTTTATTTCAGTGTAATCGGCAGTAAAGCTGTGATTGATCCCCATCTGATGCCTGTGTCTATTTCTCAATTGTTTCCCAACTTGGAATGGTAAGGAGAGGAATTATCACCCTGAAATGACAACAAAAGTCAGCAATAGCAAATATAGTAACAGTGTATGTATGTGAAGTGCTGTATGACCAACTAAAAGGACCA